GAACACAGTGGGGACCACTGCAGTGGGGCCCACATCAGTGTTCTCTACACCATTAGACCCTCTTTTTTTTTTAAGTTTCTCTTTTACATAAAGGGGCAGAATCGTCATTTTAGTTATAAAACATAGAATATCCACTTTGGTCAGTCAAACATGACTTACCATTGAAGGAAAAGACTTGGCAAGAGATTGGAAGAGAAGAAACCCTCTTCCATTGTTTCGGTGAAGCTACAAACCTCCTCTACTTGCCTACGTTGAAAGGTGAGAGGTTTTGTTTTGTTTTTTTTTTTATTTCTATTGTTTGTATATTATCTGTACATGGTTCTTCTTCTTCTTCCTCCTCCTCCTCCTCTTCCTCCTTCTTCTTGTCTTCTTTCTTCTCCTTTATTTCAGTTGGTTTTTTGGCATGAAAACAGGGGCTCCACCCTTTTATTTCAGTCGGTGTTTTGGCATAAAAACAGGGGCTCTGCCATAGTTGTCAAGGCGACGCCTAGGCGACAAGGCGCCCTTTGAGGCTCACCTCGCCCAATCGCCTAACAGTTTTCTACTTCCTACTATAAAATACTTTTTTATTCATTCTTTTTTGAGATGATAATTATAAAATAGACATTATTAAACTAAAATAATCATTTTGTGTGTTTATATACTAATTTCTTTTTATTGTTTTCTTCTTCTACTACTACCAATACTTTTTATTTTCTTCTTTTCCTATAACAAAAATAAGGGTTCAACCCCTATATTTTTTGAATTTTACTTTCCTTCTTCCTTTTCTTCTCATGAATATGTTGATTTTCTATACTTTAATATGAAATTTATACCTTTCTTATGAAAACCATGAATAATTATTAAAGAAATATGGTTATGGTACCTAGGGAACTGCCCTAGGATCTGTTTTTTAACATAAAAAAATCCATCGCCTAGGCGACTACGCACCCCCCAATCGCCTAGCCTCGCCTTGGCGCCTTGAAAACTATGGGCTCTGCCCCATTTGTTTCAATTGTTTTTTGGCATGAAAACAGGGGCTTCGTCCCATGTTTTTCATTCATTTTTGCATGAAAGCTAGGGGTACCTAGTTTCGTAATATTTCCCCCTTGTTTCATAATATTTTATCTTGATTTTTTTTTGCATAAAAGCAGGGGCTCCACCCTTTTACTTTTCACCCTTTTTCCATGCATAAACAGGGGCTTTTCCCTAACATTTTTACTTGTTTTCTTGCATGAAAATAGGGCTTTAGCCTTGATATATTCCCCTCCCCTTTTTCTAATCACAAAACAGGGAGCCATCCCCATTTTTCATTCTTTCTTACACAAAGGAAGGGAGTTAGATCTTGTACCACCAAACATCCTATCTCCCATTTTGTCTCATATGAGAACATCTCATCCTCCTTTCGTGCTTTCTTCTCTTCCATTAACAGTGTCCCTATCCCCAAAAATGTGGCAAAGGCTCTTTCAATACCTGAATGGACAGATGCAATGAAAGAAGAGATAAATGCCTTACGTAAAAATGGTACAAAGGAGTTAGTTGATCTTCCTGTGGGTAAGGAACCAGTAGGGTGCAGGTGGGTTTTTACAGTAAAGCACAGTGCTAGTGGCACAGTAGAAGGGTACAAAGCCCAGCTGGTGGCAAAAGGGTTTACTCGGGTGTATGGAGTAGACTATGTAGAGACATTTGTTCTAGTTGCTAAGATGAATTCTATCAGAGTTTTTTTCTCTCTTGCTGCTAACCTTGACTGGGATCTCCACCAATTAGATATTAAAAATGCCTTCCTGAATAGTGATATTGAAGAAGAGGTGTACATGGTGCAACCTCCTGGTTTCTATGCTCAAAACCAAGAGCAGAAAGTGTGAAGGTTAAAGAAGTCCTTGTATGGACTAAAGCAATCACCAAGAGTTTGGTTCAGCAAGTTTCACCTAGTTGTGCAGTAGATTGGCTACAAACAATGTCATGCTGATCATACATTACTTGTGAAAAGGGGAGAAGAAAACATTGCAGCCCTGATAGTGTATGTTGATGACATAGTGATCACAGGCAACTGGAAGATGGAAATTCAGAGACTAAAGGAGTTCCTAGCTACTCAAAAGGGGATCTTCATTTCTCAAAGAAAATACATCCTAGATTTGTTACAGGATACAGGAAAACTTGGAGTTAAGCTTGCTGACTCTCCCATTGATTCAAACCAATGTTTTCGAACAGTCATTGACCCGGACGGTCGGACCATTCAGCTTGGGAACCGTTCAAGCAAATGGTTCTGCTTCACCCTTAACCTGTTCCTGGTCCAAAAAACCGTTGACTTAGTCAAAAAACCACCAACCTAGGCGGTCGAATCGCCGACCCGTTCAACCCGGATAGCGGTTCACGGTTAATAAGGAAGCAAGAGATTGAGAGAGGTGGAGGGACTGAGACAAGATGATCTCAAATCTATGATCATTGGAATCCTAGAGAGAGAGAGAGATCAAATCTAAGATCTCAGAACTAAGATTTCAGTTCTCAGATCTTAGATCCAAGATACTCAGTTTCAAATCTGAGATCAGAGACAAGTACAAAGGTTGCCCCAAGCCATTGTGTTTCTATTGCCGTCGTCACCGTCGTCGTTGCCATCTCCTCCTTCTTCCCTCCTTCCCTCCATCCATTCCTTTCTTTCTCTCCTTCCTTTCTTTTCTTTCTTTCTTTCCTTATTTTCTTTCTTTCTTACTTTCTTCTTTCTTTCAGCCAACAACCACTTTCTTTTCCCTCATAAAGGAGTAAAAGGAATGAAGCCCTAACCCTAATATTCAAATCTCATCAAACCACCTGAACCATTCGACTTGGACAGTCAAACCGCTGACCCGAAAACCAGTGGCCACAACGGTTCCATTTCTAGGTCAGATTTTAAAACCTTGATTCAAACCACATACTAGGTGATTGCCAAGGTGAGACTATCAAGATGTAAAGCAATTCCAAAGACTTGTGAGTAGGTTATTATATATGTCCATAACCCGGGCAAACATTGCTTATGTTGTGGGTGTTCTTAGCCAACTCATGCATGTCCCTAAGACCACACACTTGGAGGCAAGCGATAGAATCCTCAGGTATCTAAAGAAGTTCCCAGGGGCTGGTTTACTATTCCAAAAGAATGGAGACTTGAAGGTTGAGATGTATACAGATGTTGACTGGGTTGGATCAATTGATGACAAAAAGTCCACTAGTGGGTATTGCACCTTTGTGGGAGGGAACCTAGTCACATGGAGAAGCGAGAAACAAAATGTTGTTGTGAGGTCTAGTGCTGAAGTTGAGTATAGACCAATGTCCCATGGAGTGGCTGAAGTTATGTGGATAAAGAATTTGCTAAGTGAGTTGGGTTTTCCTGTTGACAGCCCCATGTCCTTGTATTGTGATAACAAGACTGCTATCAACATTGCAGCCAACCCAGTTCTTCATGGTAGAACTAAACATATTGAGGTCGACAAGAATTTTGTCAAGGAAAAAAATTATAAATGGGGAAGTGTGCACTCCATATGTCAGTTCCACGGATCAACTTGCAGACATCTTTACCAAGGGATTACATCATCTGCGGCACAATGATTTATGTGACAAGTTGGGCATGATTGACATCTATGTTCCAACTTGAGGGGGAGCGTTGAAATCAGTTAGTTTAGTTAGTTTCTTTATTTATTTTTATCATGTTTCTATTCTTTAGTGACGCAAGGAGCATTCTTGTATTTTTACTCTTTTTTATTATTAGTTGGGACACCCTAATATAAATACCAATGACTAGCACTGCCAGCCATTGAGTTTGATCCCGGAATTTCTTTCTTCTTCTCTTCTCTCTCTCTCTCTCTCTCTCTCTCTCTCTACTTCTCCTTCTCTGTTTCTCTCACACCTTTAACCTAGAAAACAGTAAATTCTAGAAAATTACCATATAACCCAGTTTAAGTAATCGCAACAATTTATTTTCTCATAAACACAAATTTTGAATCAAACTAATACTCCATATATGACCAAAGCTGGCAGAAATCAATGGTGTCAATATCTTCATGATAAAAAGGTTGAGAAAGGAGGAAGCTTGGAGTTTAAGAATTATATTTACAGTAAGGGCATACATAAAGGAGGTCGAGAAAAGAAGTTGAAGAATGTCAATGACCACATTTTGCATCTGGACTAGGCAAAGTATTCCCAAAGGCTGTTTATGGCCTTTAACTAAATGAGAGTAGTAAATGAATGTTCAATAATGTAAAGTGTAGTTTGCCCATGCATGAGTAGCAACCATATTTCTTAAGGGCGGTGGTTAGATGATACACTTAAGAGTGGTTCACTGGCTGAAATCATTGGACCTTTTTACAGATTTTTCCTTGACCGACTTGCTGAGAAATTGGAAAGAGATAGCTAACTCTGATCAGTTTAAGAGGATTTCTAGCCCCCTTTGGACTTCCCCACCCTCTGGATTCATAAAACTGAACTTTGATGGGAGTAGTTTTAGAAATCCAGGGCCTTCTGGGATTGGGATTGGGGTGTGTTCAGGAATAAGGGATTATTCTAGCTTTGTTTCAGCCCAATTGGAGAAGGTGACTCTCTCAGGGCTGACACCTTTGTGGCTCTGTAAGGAATCCAAAAAGCAAGAGAGTTGAACATCAGAAGATTGGTCCTTGAAGGTGATTCAGAGGTGGTGGTTAGATAGCTAAAGGAAGACAACAGTAGCATGTGGAGCTATAGCAATGAAAGGAAAAAATTCAAATGGCTTGCTAGGGACATCGAGGTGAAGTACAGCTGGGTGAAAAGAAATGCCAACTCACTTGCTGATGGGTTAGCCAAGCAAGGGGTGAATAGGGTGTCTTTGTTTTGGGCTAATTTCTAATTCAACTTTCTTTGTAATTTGTTGGTGGGGAGTTAAGTCATTTTACTTCCCCTATCTCTTGTATTTAATACTTCCTATATTTAATAAAGCTTATTGTTATTGATAAAAAAAAAACATATTTCTTGTTTTAGATTGCATGCTAAGAAGTGGTACTTACAATAGGATTTCCATCACTGCAAAGGATAAACAGGGTGCAACCCATAGCTGGTGTGCTGAATGCAGCCAATGACTGAGCCTGCAACAATGACCCAGAAACAAATCCACCACCAATCTCAGTACCCCCACAATATTCAATGACAGGCTTGTAGTGAGCTCTCCCCATCAGCCATAGATACTCATCTACGTTGGATGCCTCACCAGTTGAACTAAAGCATCTACCAGATTCCGAAAACATGAACAAACTTTCAGAAATAGCATTTTAAGAAGTCAAATCAACAATTAACTAGCATTATGTTAATAATTAAAAATGATAAGTTAAAAATATCTATATATGTCTGTATTCACACTCAAATGTAAAAGACTCATGAGTAGCTTGACTTACCGAATAGAAGACCAATCAAAACCAGCTGTGCAATTGGTATTTTTCCATGCCCGAACAATACTTGGAACCACACCGAGCATGGTCACTTTAGCATCCTAGGGAAGTTGGAGAAGAGTTTAAAAGAAATTAGTCAATTGTCACATTGAAGAAATTAGTTACTTCTGCAAAAATGTAGGAAAATATGAATCAAATCATCCCTGAGCTTCCTTCATCTGCATGTGTCTTTTGCGATGAGGAATTGGAGACAGCACACCACTTGTTTGTCCACTGCCCCTTTAGCTTAGGAGTATTTATTTATCCTTTTTTTTTTTTTTTTGCAAGTTGTTGAATTATAAATGGCACTGCTTGAGGAATGTGACAACTTCTGAAAGAGTGAAAGTTGCAAGGCCTAAATGAAAGAGGAAGAATATTATGGAGTACCTTCCTAGTTGTGATATTTTGGACTGTATGGGAAGAATGAAATGTTAGATTTTGAGAATAAAGTATCTTTCATGGAGCAAGTAAGCCAGAAGCCTTTTTTTATCAGCAAGAAAGTTTGATTAAATTAAAATGATAATCTGGATATTACAATGACAGGGTGCATTCACCCATAAAAATTCATTCCAATCCCAGCACAGATACAAGATTTACAGGTAACCCAGAAGGCTGTAGCCATTGATCACTCATGGCTAGCAGTTTGCAAAGCCTTCAAACATATTCCCAATCAGCTATATTCTGACTTTTTTACTCTTTCTGCACAAAAAGTGAGGGAAAGTGGTGCTTGAATCCTGATGTAATTATGATAAATTTCTTGCCATTGACCAGTGTATATCACTCACCATACATGGGCTATACTTTTGCATGTCTTTTCATATGAATTAATAATATATGTGCAATGGTAAAGGAAACAAACAAACAAAAGCTCAATGATTTTGCAAATCTGCAATTTTGCATTGATGCACCCAAATCTTTTGTGCAGTGAGGCCTACCATTGATTTATTTATTTATCTATTATTGTCAACGTTGTTGTTGTGATTTACTAGGTCTTCTTGGATCTATCTTCTTTGACAGTTGACCAAGGGACCAACGGACCATAGTTAATGATCTTTCTGAGGTTGCAGCAGATATTATAGAGCCATTTATTCTTACTACTGTTCATTCTATATATATATATATATATATACACATTAGATTTTTCCGTCAAGGGTGTTCAAGTGATCACCAATTTACCCAACATATATAGATATGAGTTGCCCAATAAGAAAATTGGTATTTTGGTATAGGAGATTATCCAGATCAATTAAAATGTAAGGAGATATGCAGACTGCAGACAGCAGACAGCCAAGAAGAAAACACCACCTGTACAAACTTTGCAAATCCAGAGCCAAGGGGAGATCCATTATATAAGGCCATGGAAGCCCCATTCAAGAGGGAAGCATAAACTAGCCAAGGACCCATCATCCAACCAAGATTAGTAGGCCAAGCAACAACATCGCCTTTTTGAATATCCATGTGGCACCATGCATCAGCAGCAGCCTTGAGAGGAGTTGCATGGGTCCAAGGAATTGCCTTTGGTTCCCCTATCCACCAAAAGAATCAGGAAAATCAATATATTCTAACTATATTACAGCCTAATATAAACATTTTCATGCAACCTACAAGTCTGTCATACAAACATAGAGAAAATAGACAACTAGAAGAAAAAGACTTAAAATTTGGGAGATGTCTCAAATGGGGCCCACAGAAGATCAGTAGGATCGACTAACCCAGCTGTCCCCTAGGAGCCTTCTGATCATTTCATGTAGCTGAGGATTATTCAAAGAAAACTTTTTTTCAGATAAGGGTAATAGGATTTCCTTAATCAAAAAAAGGGGATGTACATAAGAAGATGTACAACAAGTTTTGCAAAACAAATAAAAAAAGAACAAGAAATCCCTTCCCATCCCTGATTCCGCTAGGCCATCTGCCAACTGATTGAAGCTTCTAGGAATCCATCTAAAGCTGCAGTTCATATTAGAGATTAACTCATAAATCCCCAGAAATCAAATGAAGAGCTTCCAAGGAACTGGATCATGATTAGAAAACCACTTTATGATGTGAAGATATACCTTGATGTACACTATTAGAGTAGTCCTTGTTGTACAGTATCGTATTCTTATTATTTTATTTGTTCTTTTTATTTTTCAGCCCTGTAAGGGCATTCTTGTAACTATACATATCTTTTATCTCTTTAATATAAAAGACTCTTTGGGGTGGGGGTCGACTATTCTTGACACCCCTAATTTTGTTTTCTTCTTGCTCTCAATTCGGTTCACATGGTATCAGAGCGGGCTGCCCTTTGATCTTCTTTCTCTCTGATCCGCCCTGTTTTCTTGATCCATTGAGAACTTGCATCTCTTCCGATTGGTCCTGGACTGTTTTGATCTTTCCAGGAACCATTTTTCTGTTTTCTGTGCATCCAGAGAGAGAGATTTTATTGGATCTCTCTCGTTTGACATCCGTTTGCAGCAAGATTTGAAAGGAGTTGTTGCCTAGCCCTTCTCAACATACTCTGAAAGTTTTACCGAGATCCGTGAAGATTTGAGAGAGATCTGGACTTCTCTTCTAGGTGGCTGCGCCCAGACTTTCCTTTTCTGGACTGTGTTCAATTTTCTTCTTCTATTGGATCTTGAACAATCTCCGGTGAAAGTAAGGGGTTTCTTTCTCAGTTTTTGACTCTCTTGGATTCGATTACAGCTTATTTCACTCGTTTTTTTATCAAGTTTTACTTCAGTCTAATTCCTTTAAACTTCAGCCGAACCCTATTTTGTGCTATTTTCTTGTTGTAATGGCTTCAGACAGAGGTGATATCATTCATGTGAAGATGAATGGACAGAACTATGGGATGTGGAAGTTCCATTTTGAATTTTATGTTGAAGGGAAAGGTTTAGAAGGATATCTGAATGGAACGGTCACTAAACCAGCTGAGACCGAGGCCAAGGCTTTACAACAATGGAAGTTGGATAATGGTAAGATTGTTTCTTGGATTCTGAGTTCTATTGATTATCATATATCTATACCTATGAGGAGAATGGAAACAGCCTATGAGATGTACTTGTATCTGGAAAAAGTTTATCAATAGTCCAACGTATCTAAACAGTATCAAATAGAATCATAGATATTTTCCTATAGCCAAAGAGATAGGAGGATATAGGAATATTATTCTGGTTTTCTTGATTTATGGGCTGAATATGAGATTGTTCACATTGAACCCTCGGATCCAGTAGAGTGTGTGAAATATCTTCAGAAGCACTTTGAGAAGAGAAAGGTGACTCAGTTCTTGATGNCAGTAGAGTGTGTGAAATATCTTCAGAAGCACTTTGAGAAGAGAAAGGTGACTCAGTTCTTGATGAGACTTAGACCTAAATATGAGATAATCAGGCCCAACATTCTAAGTAGGGGAACACTTCCAAATATAGATTCTATTTTAGGGGAGCTTTTGAGGGAAGAAATTAGACTTCTCACTGTAGTCGGGTTTGATGGGTAGATGGCTGAAGTTGGGGCTGAAACAACCTTTGTTGCTCATGGGGGTAAGAAGCCAACCTCCAAGGACTTCTCCAAAACCCAGTGCTATGAGTGTAAGGGTTTTGGACACATTGCATCTCACTGTAAGAAGAAGAATGTGTGCACCTATTGCAAGCAACATGGTCACATCATTCTAGACTGTCCAGTCCGACCAGCTAAGGGTTCTCAGAAAAAGACTCAGCCCTGGGCCTATCAGGCAACAGATGGACAAGCAACAGACACTGTATCCACCAAGGGTGATTCTTCAGTGAAAGGTGATTCAACAGGTGTCATGGATGAAGAAAAGGTTCAGCAATTGGTATCTTCTGCTTTCTCTGCTATTGGCTTGTCTGGTAAGTTCTCTGCATATTGTTCTTCCCCTTCACATGCTTGGATTATAGATTCAGGTGCCACCAACCATATGACAGGAGCCTACCTCAATCACCCAAATCCTTCCACTGAAACTCACCATAAACATATTATTAATGCCAATGGTAAAAAGTTAGACATCATTGGTAGCAATGATTTGTCCCTTCAACTGTCACCAACCAGATCCTTCCCTCTCTCTAAAACCTTCTTAATACCCAACCTTACTACTAATTTGATTTCTATTGACCAACTTGTTGATGAAGGAAATGTTCTCACCTTTTCTCATGATGGTTGCTTGATACAGGACCGGTACACTAGGAAGGTGAAAGGGAAGGGGCATAAGCTAGGCCGTCTGTTTGCACTAGAGTTTGAGAAATCTCAATCAGGAGCATCCTCAACTTTACTTAGTTCTTCTTTGTCTGATTCTCTGGTGAGTTATAGAAATAATATTTGGGATTTATGGCATAATTTTCTACTGGGAGGTGTTTTATAGAAAGATTAATACCTTGGATTTCTTGCAGAGGAAAAGGCCTTTCATGTGTTTATCCCCTAACTGGTGTGTACTTTGCAGGGCTAGTGGTAAGGATTGCTCCCACCTACATGTATCTTGTTCCTTTTCTAGAACTATTTGGAGTTGGATTTTCTCTTTATTTGGGTGTAGGTGGAATCCGTCCACAGACTTAAGCCAACTGTTCACTCCCTCCTCTTTTGTGTGGCCTACAAAAAAAGGAAAATTGATGTGGAGATGTGTTAGAGCAGCTGCATTGTGGACAATTTGGGAAGAAAGGAACGCAAGGATTTTCAAAGAAAAAGAAAGAAGCATTCAGGCTGTTGAGGATTGTATC